ACAGGAGTTGAATGCAGTTCCAGAAGTTTCGAATGAGATTGGTGGCAATGTGTCGGCAGCAGCGTCATTTTCAGATGCTGTTGATGGACCAAGGCAGATTTTGGGAAAACGATTTGAAGTTCCCGAACCTGAGACAGAAGAAACAATTATGACGACAGAGAATGAGCGTGTTCGCTAGAGCAGTTCGACATGGTGACACCGCCAGAGCCAGAGCGTGAGTATGTGTGAGATGAAATTTGAGGGTGCATGGCACGACACACTGGACACAACGATAGAATTCAATTGAGTTGACTACAGAATGATTCAACGAGTTTCATGGAAATTTACACTTCGAACTTTTGCCATGAGCACCTAGCAGATGGTGGTGAAGTGTACAATAATCTGGAAAATAGAGAGGTTCACACCTTTTCGTGTTTCCACTTTAGGTGGGGTGTTGAAGTTTTCCAGACATGTAGACATGTGCAGTGATGTGCAGTTTGCTAGTTGAAAACTACTTTACTCGTTGTAGCGCTTGTGGTCCAAAATAGGCGCGTGTGGGCTAGCTCGCTATCTAACAGTTTGACCTCTAGGTTTTGTGTCAGATAGCCAAAGCCCTCGTGGCCCGCCCTTGTGGGTTGGGAAGGTGATATGTCACTATTCAAACATTTTTGTTTTTTAAACGGATTTTGCGGGCAAGCGCGGCACTGTATGCCCTCGCATGGCTTAGCCTTACAAAAAGGTGTCCTACGACAGATGACAGTGTCACTACGAGCAAAGCAACATTACAGACAGTTTGTTGCATTGCATTGAATTTGTGAAGGGTTTCAATGACATTGTTTGAAACCGTAAATGGTAAGCGGTTGGATGGAACCGGATGCAATTCTACATGAATGATGTGGTCCTATCCATTAGCATCTTGCTCCAAAGTGGGTGTCGAACTTTTACATCCCAAAGTACATTGTTTGCTATTTCGTTGAAAACTACACTGCTAGCGCTCCTGGCTCACAAAGGTTTAAGCGGGAGTTTTGCCATGTTTGACATAAAACCCATTGGACGTGCTTATGCATTTGTGCTTCGCAGGACCGAAGAAAGAAGAACTCTTTGATGTTGTGGTTGCAAGCATGGCCTTCCGTAGCCATTCACGGTTTTGAACATGAAGTGTTTGTAGTTGGGTTGAAACAACCGAGGAGAACGGACAGTTCTATGTGCCATGACTTATTTCAAGTGGTGCCAACCACAGAATTGCAGTTGGCACCAAAGGTTGAGGACCAACTGAATTCTCAAACGTCTGGGTCGTTGCAACACACCTCTTTCTGTTGGACTCGGTGCCCATAAGTGTTTGATCTACCTGTGAGATCTACAGATGGTATGCAATGCAACGAGCCGCCCACGAACTGATTTCAGACATGCCAGAGATGCGAGACAACATGTAAGAAATTTGGCAGGTTATTTTTCCCAATCACTCTAAACGATAAATTGAGCAATGGGGTTTACAGATTAGGTTTGTGTTTCAAACTCATCACTTGCCACTTATGCACCTATCAGGTTTCATCAGTATTACGGTATTACGGGATTGCTTGTCTTGGTTCTGGCTTATACAGGCCACCCAGTGAGAGGCTAAGTTGCAGAAGTACACCCACGTTGGTATTTTGGTACGGCGTCAGCCAAACAACCAGACTAAAGGATGCACTCTTTAGGGTCAACTCCCCACGAAAAACAATGAGTTCCACCGCGCGCTGCCGCATGCCGCGGTCTGTGCATCGCAGCGTGTCATTGCAAGTGCATAGTGGTGGGGCACCCGAGTTGAGCTGTGAAGAAAAGTAAGAAGCAGCCAATTCAATGATTGTTCATGATTTTACTGTGTTCAATTGAACTGACAGTGCTAGGATGGGTGGCGCCTGCCACTATTGCTGTGAGAAGCCGCAGGAAGGGCCAATCGTGTACTATCATCATGTCTCAATCAGCCGAGGGACAGGCAGTGCGCCAAGAATCATAGTTTAGTATGCTGGCAGGCGGCGGATCGCGCGCAGATAGCGCACCATCCGGTGCATCATTCACCTCATCATCCGGCACACCGTACTACGCACCACCAGGCAGGTGGTTCCGAGTTGGAACTTCAAACCATTTTTGACGTCGAGAGCTTGTTGCGGATCGTGTGGACTACGCCATCCATGAACCTGATGATGAATTAAAACTTCACATCAATCCAAGGGCATTTGTATATCCACTTGTCACGTAAGGTATATGGCCCCTATGGTCAGGACGAAATTCACCCAGAACCTCCATCAAATCAACTGAGAATGAATGTGAATAGACAAATATTCAACATGTTGGTGATTGCCGTCGTAGGGTTCCCTAGCTAGTTTGTACCCACAAATCATTTGTGACATGAGCACGTCAGGAAGCTCACCATCACGACTTCGAGGGCCACCCAGAGGCCCGTCAGCCTGCTGGTCAGGGCATTCTTTTTCAACTCCAGACCGGATCCATTCAGATCTGTAGTCTTACCGTATTTTTCAAGATGCCCCGGCAGACAACAAAGACCTTGCCGTGAAGGAAGTACTTCCTCTTTCTCACCATCCTCACTACAATCTGCCCTTTCTTTCCTTCATTCGCAAGGTTTGGAATTTGCCCTTCCACGCCTGAGTCGAGGTCCTCGCTCCCTCGCGACCTCGCTCACCGGCCAGGGTCATCATCTGCAGAAAAGAGCCACTCTACAGGCAAGAGAGGGAACTGCAATTCCTTCCCCCCAAATGGGGAGCCGGGTTCCGGAGCCTGTGGAAGTCATCCAGTAACCCCCTGTGTCACTGGATGTAAACTCGGTGTAGCTTCCAAGTTGTTTACTTTTCCATGAAGAGGGTCCTGGGGCCTGCGCTTTTGGGGGTCCAGCTTACTGCACGAAAGACACATTGGGGCAAAATCAGCGGTGTTCCGTTCTCATCATCCAAACCAGCCAGCTTGAGCTGTATATAATTTATCCTAAATCCAAAGAAGCTACCACCACTCGATCGTACCTTGTGACGAACGGACATTGACTTCTTCATGGCGGTGGTCACTCTTACAACAGCAGAACGAGGAATGACAATAAGTTGCAACACCCTGATTTGATTGCACAGACTCTCAACTTGGTTTGGGTTTGGCCAAATAGCTCATTCGTGACCCAAACACCAGAAACTCCGGCTTGACCATTCACAGGTGAAGGATGGTGGCTTTGCCTTAGGCAACTTTGCCGCCACCAGCACCGGGCATATCGAAGCCCGGATGCCTAGAACAGATTTGCAGATCCAGGTCTGTGGAGTCTGTGGAGCACGCGGGGGGGGGGCAGCTGTTAGCCTTTTAAAAGGAGGGCATATTGGTCTTCGCCGTACCCTGTGGTCTTTCGGCTCAGGATTTCTACGAGATTGAAAAGCACAAGCTGGGTGAGGGTGGCTTCGGAGCCGTCCGGAAGGGCAGGCAGGGGGGCTCTGGGACACTTTCTGTTGAATGGACAATGCCTTTCTAAATCCTTTCTGGGACACGTGAATGTCGGCTTCAAGCACAGAAGTTTTTTGCTTCAACACATCGTCTTCCAGATCTCACCTTTTGGGTCAAGCAATCCTTCCACAGCCCAGGGACAAGCGTACTGGGCGCTACTATGCGATCAAGACCATCCGAAAAAAAGGGAGTCGTGCCAGCATGTGTTGAGAACAGGTGGAAGGAGCCAGTCTTGGTGGAGAAACAGAAATGCCTTTCCACCCAGTCTTGGTCCTCCAGCCGTGTGGAGCTACCCCCAGTTCACTTTCAGTTCCCAGTTCTGTCCACGCGAACCCGTGGCTTCAGACCCGGGGGGTCTCGAGCCGACGAGCCAGGTCCAAGAGCCTGAGAAGCTGAAGGAAGAGATCGACATCATGCGACTTCTGGACTGATCGAAGAATCCGAAAGATGAAAGATGACGACGACGATCCTCATCATCCTCATCATCCTCATCATCCTCATCCTTCACTTCCCTTTTTCAAACTTTGGTCAGGGAGTTTTGCTGAAGAATCGAAATTCAACAGAGAAGGAGTCAGAAGGAGCAAGGTGCAGGGTCTTTGGTTCGGTTGCATTCATGTCGGCTTGTTGTGTTCTTCTGCTGGAGGATCACCCGAACATCGTGCGATTTCAGGAGAGTTTCGAGGATTGGGCCGCAAGACCGGCGGAAGGGGAGGGGATGGGATGGGGACGAGACCATCTAAGTCAGGCGGATTGGACAATGATTACAATTGTTGAGGAAAAGAGAACGAGTGTTCTCTTGTTTTCTTGTTTTAAACTTAAGAAAGACAATGATTCGTTTGTTTGAGCTGAGGGTGAGAGGAGCCATTTGAAGCTTTGCCAATGGCTGGTTGGATGTAGTTTCGCATTCAAATGCAAGGATCACCGCTTACTCCAGCTGGTTCTGGAACTATGTGAAGGAGGCCTGGTTATTGACACATGACAAAGCATTTTGGTATCGGCGAGATTGAACAGGCTACACTGTGTTTTTGTTTGGAGGTCTTAGGGCGGCAGGCCTTTGAGCCTGCCACGACCTTCTCCAAGGTCTGAAAGCACCCCAAAGACACGCAATGACCGTGCCAAGGGGAGCTTATTGACCGAGTGACCACTGAAGGGTCGGTGACCGAGAGACAAGCAGCAGGCGCGAGCTCGGCTCGGCGAAAGCAACGAGCTTTCGTGTTGGCGTAGATCGTGTCCGTTCAGTGGCTCATTGATACTCCTCTAGAATGAAAACACATGTTCATAGCAGCCACATAGCACGAACCTCGCAAGAAACACGTTGATGGTACGTGAGCCCCACAGAGCTGATGGTTCCTGCCATTCAACAGGTGTTCCCCGTGACATGTTTGTTCTTACATTTCTGACGTCTCAAAACCAATGCTGGCAAAGTTTTGAGGCTCCTGTGAGAGTTTGAATTGAATAACTCGGTCTGTCATACGATGGCGAAGACAAAAAGGGGAGGAGGTGTTTTTTTTGGCACAAGCAAGTCTTTTGGGTGGTTAGGACTTGGTTGGAACACTACTAGGATTTGCTACACTTATGGATCCCCAAAGGCAGTTGTTTTCTTAAGGTGTAGCACCTCGCTTCTCCTTTTTTGGCAGAGAAATAGAAATCGCCTTCTTTGCACACCACCACTGACGTAGCCCATGTGGGAACTGCTGCCGAGGTATCCTGTACGTTCAGGTCGTCGACGCCCGAACTGACTGGGACCCACGCCCACGGGGACCCAGTCGCCAGGCTGTGTGCGTGACATGCTGCGGGCCATCAACTATTTGCACATGCCGGGAATCCCAGCCAGCCAGCTCTCACAGTGGAGGATGAATGGACATCCGGTGGGGTCTGTGGATTCACAAGATCTTCCAACAGAGGTTGAATGTCTATAGACTATCCCATAGGTACCCCAGGTGACGGGTCCTAGTTCAGGTCACTTAACCTCTCTTGGTGTCTCTAAGCCCCTCGATACCCAGGTTTGCAGACCAGTCACCAATACCCATTTTGGTCCAACGGTGAGTGCTTGGGACCTGCTTTTCTCGTGCAGGAACAATATCATGCATCGTGTACTTGCCTCAGACGAAATGATGGGGGATCTGATCGGATCAGACTGTCTTGACAATCGCCACTTGCCTGTGAAGTTGCATATAAATGTAGCTGGCAGCTGCCACTGGCTGCTGGAGTGTATGAATTGTGTATGTGTGTTATATTTTTAGATGTGCTTTGGTGGAAGGTATAGCTTTTTAAGAGCTTCTTTGTTGCAAAGTCCACTACTGTCGACTGTGAGGCAATTCTTACTGCAATAAGGACCTCAAACCGGAGAACTTCCTCCTGGCCACCAAAGAAGAGGCCGTTCGCCAGTGGCGCACGCGACGACCCAAAGATGGTTGCCAGCTTGGACGTAGCGAGGGGAGCTGCTTCGACGTTGACTTAGTCCACACAAGCTGAGCAGATGTCTGAACCGCGAAAGGTCGAACTCTCCATGTATACTTTAGACAGCCAAGGGTGGTTGTCTACTTGGGGGTCTGATTGTTTGAGTTGGTCTTGTTAGAGAGCGCACCCTTCGCAGCGTTCGCAGATTGGGAAGACTTCTTTGAAGTTGATTGACTTTGGCTTGGCCAAGTGGCTTGGCTATGGAGACTGAATGGGCAACATGGAAGGCGTTGGAAAGCCATGTGATGAGACTAGGAGTTCTAGCAATCCTAAGCAACTCTAAAGGCGACAGCAAGGAATGGCGGACACTTATTAATTAGCAGGAGCTGCCCGAAGGGCGCTTTTGGACCCTATGGAAGAAACTAGTGATACGCTTATGGATGCCCCACACCACAAGGAGCGTCACTTGATGATTTTGATTGCCAAAATGATGCAGCAGCAGAGGCGCTTTCATCCGGGAGAACAAGTTTGTACCAAGGAGAGCAGGGACTGATCGACCAAGTGGATTCTGTTGATATACGGATGATTTGGAAAACGGAGATGTCATTGCAGGCAAACTCAAGTTCAGCACAGACTGAGGACCATTTATATAAAGTGGTTTTGTCAGGTTTTTGGATTGGCTAGGTTCAGCAATCTTTCTGGGCACCTTTCAGCACCTTTAAGCAAAGTTGGATTTTATTTACTTACAGGAGCTTCCGGATGAAGGATGATCAATTCCCTGTTTCTCGCTGTTGGTTTTCTGAGAGCTCATCGAATCCATGTTTTCAGGTGTCACCTGGTATTGTCCCAACGAATGCCTTTCATCTATCACTGGTGCGTTTTGGCGTTCTGGAGCCAGGCGGGCACCCCAAACTACGTGGCGCCGGAGGTCGCCTGGTCGGGGGTTTTGTTGTGCCAAAGACCCATCGACGCATCTGGACGCTGCCTGGTTCTTGTTAAGATGCCAAGTTCCGCTTGTTCAGAACGCCTTCAACGGTTCTGCTCAGTCCAGTCAGAGGTGCTGTCGGGTCGATATGATGAGAAAGTCGATGCCGGGCTCTCGGGGTTGGGTGGGGCTGTTGGATTGCCTGTGAAGTGGTTTGGTGCTGCCTGTGGTTCTTCCACTGAGACCTGGAGCATTGGGGTCATCACATACCTCCTCCTCTCCGGCAAGCACCCCTTCACTGGCAAGACGGTCGAGCAGGTGGAAGAGCTTGGTCTGCTTGAACGCCTGCTTTCCTGCTTCAAGTCACACATCGTCAGCAGTTATCAGAGAGTGTCACACATCTAGCCGCCCACAATGTCGGCACGGGCATGAATGCTGAATTCCAGCCAATACGCCACTTTCTTGCACGCGCATGTGGCACTGATATACCTCATACCTCCATTACAAAGGGGTGGATGGATCTCATCTTGCAAACCTATTCTATTTGGTTGGAGGCCATCGCTATATAGTAGGTTGGAGGCCATCGCTAGTGTGGGCAGGTCCTCCAAAAGGTGAAGACTGCCAACTTCGCCCGATGCCCAGCACCGTGGACCGAAGGACGAGCTTCGAGCTTCGAGCCTCGGGGCTTTTCCGACAAAGGCCACCAGGCGTTTCTTCCAGAGCTGCAGGTCACAGAAGGCAAGCATTGGAAGGGCATTTCGGCCGACGGCAAGGGCTTCGTGCAGGTGGGGGGGCGTCGGGCGTCGGAGGTCGACGCGAAGATGGTGCTTTGAGCCATGAGAATCATCAGATGGTGCTTTTGTGGCCTCAAGCCTCGGAGGCTGAGCCGAAAAAGGCTTCAAACGGAACCAGGCTTCACAATTGCCTGCAAGCTTCAGTGTTTGACAAAGGCTTTGGACACAAGAAAAGGCACTGATACCAGTAGTCACCGGGGGGGTCCTAGCTTCACCTTGACGAAGGGGGTCTGCTCATTTCGGCCCTGACGTTTGGTGATGTGCACTGTTTTCCTGAAGCCCATCGATAAAAAGAGGTAGGACCAAGGACGCTACTATGGGCTCCTGGCCTTACTACTAGGAGCAAGGACGCTAAGAACGGGGCTCCTGGCCCTCAAACTTCAGTGCTGAGAAGGGCTTGCAAAGGGTTGGCACCGTCTAGCTCCAGCCTGGAGCTATGATGCGCCGCCCCACATGGCAGGGAGTCTCCTCTGCAATTATTTCGTGCCGTGGGTAGTGATGGTGGTAGAGCTACCTTGTTTGGAATTCTGAATTGGTCTCATGAAGCAAGCAGGTCATCAAGGGCGAGCATCACCTGTGGTTTCCGTATTTGGGCGGAGGTTTACTCGCACCTGTACTCCGCATGAGGGTCACCCTGCCGGCCTTTTCTCTATGCATGTTGAATTGTGATGAATCACACCAAGTTGAAAGATGTTGGGTCACCCGGCTCAGGAGCGGCGTTGCGAGGATACATGTTGAGGCCCACCGTGTCCGACATGCACCGAGGGAGCGACTTTGAGGTTTTCTTTCTTTTTTCTCCCCAACCCCTGTGGCTGGGGGTCCAAGAACCAGAAGTTGGTGTACCTGGAAGGTCAAGCTACATTACGTCATTACATGGTGTTTTTCTGCATGTTGGACCTACAGTTTTGACCCTATTCCCCCATGTGAAAACGCCACCGGAAACCGGTCTTTGACTCCACGGCGCTGCTGGGCTGCAGGTTTCGGGTTGGTTCGGTGCGCTGATCCCCCCGCGGTGTCCGCACCGACTCTTAGCGCTGGCGGCTTCCGAGCACACGGCGCGGCTCCTGTACGGCTTGCAGGGGTTTGTGGCTGCGTCGGGCGGCCCAAGTGTTGATAGAAGCAACTGAGCTCACTTGTGTGACACGTGGAACTTTCTCCTTTCTCCAGGTCCTAGGTCCTCGCCATCCATCTCGTTTGGTTCTCGCGGCTCGTTTCTTGCAGTTTGTCTTTTCGCTCGCTTCCTGACCACACTGGAGTGCAGAGTCTCAGAGGTAAGAAGAATAGCGTTGGGTGTCGATTTGCATGGGTTGAGGTCGCCCAGTTGTCTGCAGCGCGCTCGTGCCGCGAACCAAGTACTTAGCACGTTCAGAGCATTTGCTGCCTGGGCGGTGGCGTTGCCGCGGAAGACGCTCAACTTGGCGGTTTGGGTGGTGAGCGCTAGTGTACCAAGGCGTGGCCCATCGGCGGGGCGCTTCGTTGGGCCGTGTGGTGTTTTTTCCCCAGATAGCTTCCCCAGATGGCGAAGCTATAGGGGTTCTTTGGCTGCCGCTGCCGCCTTGTCTGTGAAGCTTGTCTCCCTTCATGATTTCGCTCTTGGCCGCCTCTGCCGGCTTGTCTCCCAAGCTTGTCTCCCTTCATGATTTGGCCTTTGGCTGCCGCTGCCGCCTTGTTTCCCAAGCTTGTCTCCCTTCATGATTTCGCTCTTGGCTGCCGCTGCCGCCTTGTCTGTGAAGCTAGTCTCTTTTCATGATTTCGCTTTTGGCTGCCGCTGCTGCCTTGTCTCCCAAGCTTGTCTCCCTTCATGACTTCGCTTTTGGCTGCCGCTGCCGCCTTGTCTGTGAAGCTTGTCTCCCTTCAGCGTTTCGCTCTTGGCTGCCGCTGCTGCCTTGTCTGTGAAGCTTGTCTCCCTTCATGATTTCGCTCTTGGCTGCCGCTGCCACCTTGTCTGTGAAGCTTGTCTCCCTTCATGATTTCGCTCTTGGCTGCCGCTGCCGCCTTGTCTGTGAAGCTTGTCTCCCTTCATGATTTCGCTCTTGGCTGCCGCTGCCGCCTTGTTTCCCAAGCTTGTCTCCCTTCATGATTTCGCTCTTGGCTGCCGCTGCCGCCTTGTCTCCCAAGCTTGTCTCCCTTCATGATTTCGTTTTTTTTCCTGTTTTTACACTTTTTGGCTTAGACTAAGTTGATTAAGTATTCTGGAGCACTTTTTGTATTGCTTTTCACCAGATAGCGTGAGCTATGGGTGTTTTTACTTCAAGTATGGGAGGAGCTGCGTGTGTGCGTTTGCGAGCTTGGGTGCTATTGCGGCTGCAGGGTGCTGCTGCTGTGTGCGCTTGGGAGTGCTGGCGCCGTTGCTGCTGGTGCTGCCGGAAAGGTTATTTTCCTATCTGCTGGAGTCTATGCTGGCGCAATTCCCTAGATAGCGTGAGCTATTGGGTTTCCTATTTCAAGTATAGGAAGAACTGCGTGAGCTTGGGTGCTGGTGCCGCTGCAGGGTCCCGCTCTTGTGTGCGCTTGGGGCCGCTGCAGTGCGCTGGTGCCGTTGCTGCTGGTGCTGCCGGAAAAGTCTTTTTGCTATCTGGGGTCTATGCTGGCGTAACCTGAGGAATGGCACCGTGGATTTTGGTGGCCCCGCCGCGATGGGTGCGGCTGGCGTGGTTTTGATTTGGCTGAACCAGGTGGGAGGCTGTGCAGTTGGTCCGTTACATGAAGGGAGACAGAAACAGAGCCTTCTTCCAGCTCCCTTTCTTGACCTCTCCGTTGCCCCCATGCTCCCAGCGACTCAGGCGAGTGAAGAGCTGATGGCCTTGGACTGGCAGAGGGAACTCCTGTGCCAAGGGCCTGCGCTGTCAGAACACAGAGTTGGAAGCGCTGGCCTCGTCGGCAATCCAGACATTTGCGAATTCGGGTAAAGCGTGCTGTGTGGCTGTCAAACCGTTTGAAGAGATTTGAGGTGCTTTCTTGGGCATTGCGCGATTGCAGGCGAGAATTTTTGTTGTTGTGAAAGTTTGCAAAGCGGGATGTGGAGACCATCCTTGTTCAAAGGCAAATGCTTGCTGCAACCATAAAGAAAGAAACAGCAAAGTGCTTGCTGCAAGCGATCGAAGCATACAAATCGACCCAGCTAGCTGACCCACGCAGACTTGTTCTAGCTAAGCTAGCGAAGGCACCACAGGTCGCTTTGTTTGCTCAAAGAACATTGAGACATTTTGTTTGATTTGTCAGAAATGTGCGAGAGATTGAGGTTCTGTGGTCGCTCACTTCTAACGTCAAATCCCGGGGCCAGCCTCGTTCTGAAAGAGCTTGGCCGCCATTGTGTGACAGGGTAGATCTTCGATCGCAACGCGCAAATTGCAACACCATTTGTTTCAATACACGCACACACACACACACACACCTCAGGCATGATCTCAGGCACTCTCTCTCTCTCTCTCTCGCTCTCTTGCAGGATGTTTTGCTTCAAAACCATCTTTTTGTTTGCAGTTCGGGAGTTTCCAAAGCTCTTTTCCCGCGAGACCTGGCCGTGGTTGGTGGATGCTGCAGCCTTGGCTTCTGCTCGACAGCTGCCGGCAGTGGTGCCTGAGCGGGTGTTGTTTGCGCGCAGCCCTGCAGAGGCCAAAGTTGGGGGTAAAGTGGATGAAACAGATGATGCGCCCGCTTTTGATTCTTACTGTAAAACAAGGGTCAGTCTCCAGTCTCCTGTTCACACCACAAAAACACAACCGTCAGTTGAATCAGTTGTTTTCATCATCATCATCATCATCATCATCATCATCATCATCATCAGTGTACCACAGGTCTTGATACACATCCTGGAGCAGCTGCGCCAGCCGGCCTTCATGGTGGAGATTGGGGTTGATCGAGGTGTGCTCCGCAGTGCTCTTTGTCCGAGTGCTTCTTGCTTCCTGCCCTACAGCCCTTGCATTCAGGTCAGACGTCCCAGCTGCTGCTGGAAGCTTTGCCCAACTTAACGTTACTGGGCGTGGACCCCTACCCTGGCAGATACAACGGGCAACCGAGCACCGAGCGGCTGGACCAGATGGGCGGCGAGGAAGCCTTCAGCCGCGCAGCGAACATCATCTGGGTCACAGGTTCTTTTGTACATCCAGATACAGATACTGTACATCTTTATTTTGTTTGGGTCATTTAGATCATTTGGCGCCCAAATGTGGTTGCTGGCCTTTACCGTGTGTTTCCCAATCAAACACATGGTTTTTCTTGCCAGTGGAAGCTCTAAAGTCCATTCGAATCAAGGCATTGCCCTTGGGCGCTACGCTCAGTACGCGGACCGAGCACAGATCTGGCGCCAGTCCAGTGCTGCGGCCGCGCGCCGGCTGGGGTCAGCAGGGCTGCCCAGTTGGTGAATCTGAAGAAGAACCCAGAGTCAGAGCCTGAAGCCAAGCTCCTTTTCCAAGGAGCTACCAGGATAGTCGCAGCCACCAGGATTTGCAGGTACTTTTGGGCATTGATCTGGAAGTAGTCCTGTGGTGTCGACTGCGTTTGCATCTCGTGAAGGTGATTTCTGATGTTATGCAGTCATGTGACATGGCGCTTCTGCTTTGCTTTGGATGGTGCTGCTCGGTGCTTCTCTGATTCGCTGAGCGTCACAAACCAACCAGCACGCCGGGCACGCCGCCAGCGGAATTAGCGGTGTTGGTGCAGTGTGCTGAGCGCGAGTCTTCGGTTGGATGAACATCAGCAACTCCTCGAGATCGGTTCCACCCAAGGTCCGACCCCAAAGCGGTCCTCACTGGCCTCACCCGTCTCACGGGCCTCACGCCGAAAAAGACCCCGAGATGTTGTGTCAGGTGCTGCGGTTCTCATCGTTCGATCTGAAGATGTTGGTTCAGGTGTATGTACGTTTCTGCAATCTGATGTTGAAGCAGGCTTTTCAGTGATTCTTTAGGAGTTGTTTAGATCAACTCATGGTTTGACGTGAAGAATTATGGTGCCAGCGGTGGCTGTAGCGGTGGCTCCTTCTCCCAACTTCTAAGGCCCCGGATTTGGTCTTCGTGGATGGGGAGCATGACTTCGAGTATCTGGTCGAAACCGCGAAAACGTGGGGGAAACTAATCTAGACACCTCAGCACCTGACCATGAGCTTTTGCACATGTCCTCAAGTGCTTCTTTCAAGAACAGGAAATGTGTCAAAAACAGATGAACACCAATCAGGTCCGACATGCCAGTGCCTTAGGGACCTCAAGGGACCTGATGCTTCAATGCCGACAGACCCAGTCGACAGACCCAGTCGCGACCAGGTCTTGCTCGCTTGATCTGCGGCTGTGGATGCCCAAGCTGCGGCCAGGTGGGGTGTTGGCAGGCCACGACTTCGCGGCCAATGAACCTGGCGTGGTGCGGGCAGTGGCACAGTTGGTTCAAGAGCAGCCAGTGCAGCCGGACAAGGAATGGTGTAGAAGAAGGTTGTGTTTTTCTTTTTTGTGTGTGTTTTCCTCTTTTTGGGATCACTGTGGGTGTGCCTGGCAGAGCTGGGTCTCGTGGTGCCGTGTTTGTTTTTGAACCATGGTGACGTGGTGACGTTAGTTCGGATGGACAGCGCGGCCTCGAGTTCGGATGGGCGCTTGACATCGATCGTGTCATGTGGGGACGACCAGCGAGCGAGCGTTTGGCTCCTTGGGTTTTGGAGGGTTTGCGCACCGATCTGAAGCGCAGGATCGAAGGGCTTTGCACCTGGGACCTCACGGAGTGTGGTGGTTCGTCTAGGGGATGCGACCTACCTGCGAGTAGACCACCAGATGCGAACGATGCACGAAGCGGGAGGTGCATTTAAGCGAGTGGACGGTGAGAAGGAGGACACCACCTCGACATCGACGTGTTCGGGGAACTGCAGTGGTCAAGGGAACTGAGCGCGGAAGGCTTGTTCCCACCAGGGTGGAATGCTTCAACCAGCGGTTGCCACCAGTGGTTCGCTGCTCGTCGGTGTTTGGCCTTGCTGCCTCCGGTGCCCGGCCTTGCTTCCGGCGTCATCGCTGGCTTGCTCCTTCCTTCATGCAAGTACAAGTGAGAGAGCGGATGCAAAAAGTTTTGCCTGTGCCTGGTGGCTGGTGGCAGAATGCAACTGTGAGGATCGATCGATCGATCGCGATAGATAGATAGATAGATAGGTAGATAGATAGATCGATGCATAGATAGATAGATAGAGAGGGAGAGAGAGGGAGAGGGAGGGAGAGGGAGGGAGGGAGGGAGGGAGGGAGAGAGAGAGAGAGAGAGGAGAGAGAGAGAGTGTGAGTGTGTGAGCGTGAGAGTAAGTGGGTGGCATCAAGCTTCTTGAAGGCTTTGAAAGGTCCAATTTCCTGTTGGTTCGATAAGGATTCGTCGTTTTATGTCGTGTTCCTATCTACAGATTTTACAGATAATTCGCACCTTCAATGGACATAAATTGCAGACCTGCACAGGGCTCCCCAGCCCTGCTTTCTCACCCAGGGCAAAGAACGCCTAGATTTCCCCTTTGCGAAGAGGACCCAATTTGTTGAAAAGGCCCCGCCCCGACCACCGACTGCCACCGACTGCCACCGACTGCCACCGATTGCCACCGGGTGCTAGGCGTGCCTGCAGAAGATTCCGATGGCACGGCCCTCCGCCGCCCATTGCTTGCGACACCGCTGGCCACTTGACGCAAAGGGCGCGAAATCGATGTGGTCCCGGCAGAGTTGCCGTGTGTTGTCTGTCGCGCCTCTTTGGTGTTGCGCTCGCCGGCTGAAGGAGCTCCAAATAGTGAAAGAGCGAGCCCCGACCGAACGAGGATTGAGCGCTTGGCGGAGAAGGAGAGCGGGCCTGTGGAGAAGCTGCAGATGGATGGCTTGGCTGCCTTTGGTCGGATGCATAAGCTCAAGAAGGCGCTGACATTTCAAGCGGGTTTGTTGGATGCAGATTGAGGTTCAGTGGATAGGTAGGCCGTCCATGAGGGTTTGAGAGATTGGAACATTGGTTGGTTTGGTGGCTTTTAACAGTGCAATCGTTGTTTTTTAAGTGATTTGTATCGCCAAATGGCGTAAGGCAGTGGTCACTGTGATTGCGACGCAGATGTCAGAAGAGAGGACCTACCTGATGAAAACAAGCGAGAGAGAGAGAGAGAGAGATCCGCACAAGGAATGGGACATACTTGGCATTCACTCAATCTCCTTTGCCTTTTTGTTGGTGAATCAAACACATGACTTGGAGGTTTTTGGAGCGACATGGTGCAGATTCCAAGCAGGAAGGAAGCAAGTAAGGTAAAACAGCAGGTGCATTTAGCTTAAAGCTCCCATCCTTGAGCTATGGAAGGCTTTTCCGATCACGATAAGAGGATCGATCAACTACGCAGCATGTTCATGACCATGGACCGAAATGCCTTAGACTCAGAAACCATTTTGAGACAGAGCCGTGCGGGCGTAGCATCGCTCGTTCGTTGCTGCAAACAAAGGAAATCCGAAGAACGGTCCCACCATGAGATTCTGCATTCTGTCGTGGTACAATATATACTGTGCTTCAAGACAAGCTAAAACTGAAGAATTGCCAATGGAACTGAGCATGGTAGGCAAAAGGGACTCGTTTCTGCTTCTTGGACTCTAAGGGGGATGGTACCTTGACTGTTGCGGAGATCAAGGATGCCTTGGATCAGGCCAAAAGCGAGCCTATCCCATGAGAGAGCGGCCAGCAGCATGTCCTTCAAAGAGGCATCTTTCATAGCCATGTTTAGTGGGTCTCAACAAAGAACGGATAGGTTACACCAAGTTACACCAAAACTGTCAGCATGACGTACCGCCGAGAACATGTTGCTGGCTGTACGTGTGCGGCACGTGCGTGTCAGGCACATGTCGAGATGCCGAGCAACATTGAGCAACTGCTCTATGAGGTGCCGACCCGTGATGGTTTCTACCCAAAGGAGTGGTGAAACCATGTTAAGCATGTGAAGCAAAGCTCGGAAGCTATACATAAGTGAGGTTAGGTGAGGCTGCAGCCTGACACAGCCTTTCTGGGCAAGTCTTGCTAAGCATTACGCAGGGGGGTCGACATTCTTGCGTGGAAAAAGAAAGCGGGGAGAACGCTGCTAAGACTTTGGGTTGGGAGCCCGCACCTCACCAAGAGAGCCTCATGCTTGCAGCGTGAGTTGCTAATAGAATGGGCTGCCAAAAAAAGTTGCTGAAGCTGCAGGTTGGTAACCCACAGCCCATCAAGAAAGCATATACTTGCACTGTGATATGCTAGCATGCCCTGGTGCTGTCCATCAAGACAGCATGACTTGCATCCTAAACGCGCTAACACGGC